GGGTTACTCAAACTAAACATTATTTCTGTGCACGTCTATGAGATTGTTTCCTGATGAGATTAGCATTTGAATTGGTATAGACCCAGTGTGGGTGAGCATTATCCACTCTATTGAGGGCCTGAATAGAACAAAAAGCAGAGAGAAAGGATTCACTTCCTTTTACTATCTCAGAGATGGGACATCTCATCTCCTGTCCTCAGACTGGGATTTACACCACCAGTCACACTGGTTCTCAGGCCTTTGGTCTCAGACTGAATTACACCACCAGTTTTCCTGTGTCTCTTGTTTGCAGACAGCAGACTGTGGGACTGCTAAGACTACATAATTGTGTGAGCCAATTTCTCACAACAAATCTCTTGATTTATGTACACATACATACATATATCCTATTGGTTCTGTTTCTCTGAAAAGCCTTAACATAACTAGCACTGAAGAAATGAACAATTTCAAAGTACAAACTGTGCATCAAGTACTGTTACTAGGCTCTTCCACATGCTCTGTTCATTCAGTCATTTACTGAGTAACTGTGTGAACACCTAATGCATGCCATGTACTGTGCTAAGCTAAGCGTAGGGACAAAAAAGTCAAATAAGATTCCCTGCCAGAGACCGAAAGTAATCTGCACAAAAATTCCATAAGGACTATTATTGTGCTCACTTTATGGGAGAGGAATAGAGGCTCAGAACAATTATGGGGCTTATCTAAGTTTACACAGATAGAAAATGGCAGACCTGGGCCTGGCACCCAGGCCTGTCTGAATCCATACGTTATGCTCTTTCTTTACTGTACAGCTGCTTCCTATTAACCACAGATTCTAGAACAAATTGTTTAAGCAGATGGCCACAAAGCACTTGTAAAAGAAGGTGGTAATCCTAAGTGCCAAAGCAAAGAAACAAACCAAATGGCAAACTAAACCCATCACTCTTTCATGGGATTTCTGGTCTGGCAAAGCTGTAGAAATTCCATGTATCTCAAATTCAGTTTTGTTCTTCACTAGTCTGAACAAAATGGAAATATGTGGTCTGGATGATGGCACAGTTGTGTGAATCATCATATGGTAAACGGGGAGGCTGAAGTGTGTTATCAATAGATGGATGTAAAACTAGATGGTAGTGATATGCCACAGTGCTCTGTTCTTGGCCTGGTGCTATTCATATATTTGTTTACACACACACACACACACACACATTTATTGAATGGCGATGATATATAAAATGCTCTATGCCAAATACACGGGGTTTGTGGGGGCCACCAAAATGTGCCACGTAGATTTCTCCTCAGCAGGGCTTCTCATACCAGCTGTTGAAAGTGATACTAGACGACAGCCTTCAACTATTCACACTTCAGGATCTTCCTCAGCTGCAGAGAGCCACCTGGCCCAAGTCATGCCCCTTCTTAGCCTGCCCACATCAAAGTACTGATTGATGTAACAATAGGACGGTTATTCATTTCAGTCGAACTCAGGTCTAACTCTGAAGGGTCATTCTAGTTCTGGAGTGTGATCATCCCTGTGTGATCAGCTCAGCTTAACTTCTGCCTCTGCCCGTAAGTGTTGAAAACAAGGTCACTCCTTAATAAACATCCTGCACATTAAACTTAAACTTGGATTTGGAATCAATCTGCTTCATGGAAAACCCATTGAGAAAGTGATGGGCTTCATACTTTGTTCATCTTCTAAAGAGCACAGCTACAACCAAGGACAAAAATTAAATGGAGACAGCATTTTGGGTTTAACAATTATCTTTCAACAGTGAAAGAGCCTGCCTCAAAAAGCACTAAACTCTGTGACAAAGAGGTAACACTATATTACTCTTGGAAGAGTCTTTATCAACCAAAATAGTTGGTATTTTAATTAAATTTGTCTGTTCATCCTGCTGTTGGCTAGCATACAGCATATCATCACTGATATTTAGATATTAATGATTAGAAATTTTTAAGAAAACTTCCTAGATTCTGGGGATAATTTGAAGGTAAATGGGAAAATAATTCCATTTCCTTATGAATTTCAAAAGCGACCTGAGATTATTTAAGACATAGTGGCAGAAACTGTAAATGTCTATACCAATATCTAATATCTAACTAAATCATTTGTCTTTTAGTTACAGAACGCTGAATTTTAGCTTGTCACATGCCTATCCAGCCAAAGACTATATTTTCCAGACTTCCGTTCAGCTAATGTGGCCATGTGACTAAATTATGTCCAATGGGATCTGAGTGGTGTAAATGGGTGCAACTTCTGAGTTAAACACTTAAAGAAAACCACTTAACTTTTATTTTCTATGTCCTCCATCCCAAGGCTGTAACATGGAGGTGACTGATGGTGTTAAAGCAGCAGCCTCCTAGAAAAGGTGGAGCAATAATTCTGAAGGTCCCTGGGTTCTTGAATGATCCTTGGAGTAGGACTTTATTACCTATCTGGACTGTCTACCAGCTTTGACATTTACATGGGAGAGAAATGAACCACATATTGTGTTTAAGCCATTACCATTTGGTCTCTGTTAAAGCAGCTATACCAATGTTCTTAAGTTGTACAGATGCCAAGTCAACAACTAAAACCTGGGTGATGTTCAGGTCTTTGCCCTGTCAGCATGGTGTCTTACCAGGAAACTACAACATGATAAGAATATAAATTAACTTCCTTTACCTGTGAGTTTCCCTTAAAATTCTTCAAAAGAAACAGAAGTCAGAAATCCAAAATAAGCTATTGTTATGAATAGCTTACTATTAGGAATTTCTTTTATTTTCACTAGTATAATGATTGATGCTTTTGTAGCATAAGAACCATAGACTAAATGAAATATTCTGACATATCATGAACTGGTATAGGCTCTACTTCTCTTTTTATACCTGAATTAAGTGCAGATATATAAATGTTTTGATCGTTTTGGTGGAAACATATAAAGTTGCACAAATTATTTGCCGTTTTTATTATGGTACTAACTGAATTACAGAAGGTTATTGCTATATATCTGGTTTTATAGATAACGTACTGGAAATATGGGTACATATGGATGATCTAGATGAGAATAAAGATTCTAAAGCTAAGAATATGTTTTCAGTTACAGTGTCCATTTATACTTATGCATATCAAGAAATGTGCTTTCTTTTCCTAAAGTAGCAATAAGAGCTCACTTTCCTGTACTAAATATAAAATGTCACAAATATTTGCAAATCGTATGGCAGAGCCAGGTTCTCACATTAGAGGGAACAAGCTGGGGGTGCAGGAATGTGGTGGTAGGGGCTTTTGGTTTGTGGTGTTGCTGGTATGCCTAACCCTGTGATTACTTTTTCTGAGTGTCTCCATTTTATTTTTACGTTGCTTTCCCTAACATCTTTTCATCGAAATCTTAACCACATCATGCCAATATATCACCTTCAAAACAGGTGTTGGGAGAGCTCAGAGGAAGCAGCCACTCTTCTTGCTGCATCCTCAGCAGCATTTCTGGTTGGAGGAATATCTAGCAGATGACTTGGGCATATATATTCTTTTTGATAAAGGGCATTTCTTCTTTCCTAGATTGAACTAGCTTTCAACGACTATCTATCACGTGTCTGGCTATTCTAGTAAGTTTTCTTTCATGTAAATTTGTTCATTTAATCCTGTGAACTTGCCTTTTACACTTATCCCAGGAAGCTTCCAAGTGCCCACTATGCTTATTATAGCCCACAGAGAAGTGGATATAAACTGGTTTCAGGCACTTAAATAAATTCTTACAATTAATAAAAAATGATTCAGTAAGTAAGAAACGATTTGAAAGATTTAAATTGAAAAGTGAAAGTGTGTGCATTTAAAATGTTCCCATTACTAGAAATCACTAGTATTACAAACCAATACATGAGTATTATAGACCAATATGTGAGTTTAAAATCTGAACCTTCCATGCACAAGGGAGAGAAAGCTAATATACTTCATGCCTCCTTTTTCGAGAAGTCATCCTTAAGTTAACATGTGAATATATGATTAAAAATTACCTGAAACATCATTTGTTGTGGTTGATTACTATTAGCAAACATTCTAGTTGTCACTAGCAGTAGTGATAAAGGCCATTATAAGCACTAAGCACTGAAGAAGGTGTCATTAGATGCTTTATTCATCCCAGGCAGGCATCTATCAAAGGACAGATGATTACAACTTCTTTAGAAAGGTTAGTTGAGATATTTTCAGAAGCTTCTCAAAAATGGTTCAGCATTCATTAAGGACTTCATTTAGGGGGAATGCTGTAGAAACATCACATCTCTCTGAAGAAGATGCCAAGAACATATTAGCTGCTAGTTTGAGAGCCTTCAGCTGCTCTTCACAGCTATTTTTAGAAAACAATTGTAGCATTTATCAAACACTGCAGAGAAAATAGTGTAAATGCTGGAACTTAGAATTCAACAACTGAAGAAATTTAATAGCTAGGAATTGGAGGAAGGAGGTTTAAATTGTGGAAAAAATACCAATTTGAGTAATACAAATAAGGCATACCTGTACTTGAGGTGTCTAAAAGATAAGAGTACTTAAGACAACTTGATAATAAAATATAATTAAGATTATGAGTTTTAATATATTTTTAGACTATGATCTATGATATTAGATTATTTTTTGAAGCATAACAATGAAATTTTTTTAAAGAAAAGTATTTTTTTTTGGTTTCCTTCCCAGGAGTTTCTATGTATTATATCATAAAAATGGACACTAAGATATGTTTTTAAAAATAATTATTAGTAAATATGTAGACTTTATATATTTTTTAATTGCTTCAGAAGTAAGTCTGGATAATTTTTTTTCTTCTTTTGAAAATGTTTTAGGAAAGTAAGTAAAAAAAGAAATGTGGTCCTATGCATTTTTACCATTTTGAAAAACACAAGAAACTCATAAAATGAGCATAACTTTTTAAAGCTAAAATGAGCTATTTAAGGTTTATGGCGTTCATAAAATGGTGACCATATGCAGCCTTCAGTTGAAGGAGTTTCTGCTCTGTCCAACCTTCTCCAAGCTTGACATAAAAACCACTCACCACTGGTGATGGGGAAAGTGCAATGTTGCCTATCGATGCCTTCAGTTCATCTACAGTTGCAGCATTCTTAAGAATGTCTTTAGATTGCAATGGCTTAATCTTGATATTAAATTTCTTGTGCGATTCTTCTTCTTCTTCTGATTCACTTGAAGAATAAAAGTGCTTTCCTTTGGTAGGTACAACACAGTTAAGGATACATAACTCTTTTTTCTATTGGGAGGCAATGATGAGTATCAAACAACAGAGATTGCACATAGTGGCAGTAAAAGTATCCTTAAGATGGAAGAAAATCAAAGCAAAACAAACAAAAAAGAGTAAATCAGGAAAGGATTAGAATTTATTCACCTTTCCTCAGAACATGATTGAGGATGGTGAATTTCAAGGAGCAATAGTTATAATGTCCTACATTTTTGCCGCAGTTGGACACTTGATGTTGTCACATGCTGTACACTGACGGGCCCTCTATGGAGACAGGAAATGGATGATTTGTGATGCGTTTAGTGCTTTAGAGTGTGACCTGTTCTGCCCAGAGATGATTTGTGGGGAGAGTACAAGTAACAGTTATTTGCTGGCCATGATAAATGACATTGTCACATCAGGCTTTAGCAGACAACCCAGTATCCATAATGAGCAAAATATTTTCAGCACATTTTTCTTTTTTTCCTCTCTCTCTCTTCTATGAATAGATCAAGGCAAAATGCCTACTTGTTAGTGATCAGGCTGTTCTCTGTGATGTTTATTCATCTCTAATATTATGGACAACAGGGCTTCAACACCTTTTTGAAACTTGAATTTATAATACTGTTTTATGAGAAAAAAGAAATATTAAAAAAAAATAAAGAAAGGATATAGCCAGGTTCCTCGGGTCTGATGCTGTAGCCTTCTTCATCCAGCTCGGGTGAGTTCTATAAAATACAAGTGTACATAATGCAATTATTATCCTGACAATAATCAAAGAATTATTGCTGTTCCTTCTAGAGCATTCTACTTAAGGATATAAACATGTCTCTTATTTTTAGAGGTGATGGTTTTAACCTTTGGAAGTGAATGCTGAGCAGTATATGTGTAGATATTTACTTAAGGATATGTGGGGAGTCTTCCTATTGGGAAAACAAACTAAGAGTCAACAACTGTTAATGAAAGGAAACATTCAGCGAGAACTTATCATGCATTTTAAGCCAAGGACTGTGCTAAGCAACATGAAAGGATATGAAATGAAAATTACTTGTCCTTTGGAAAATTGAAATGTATATGGTGGGCAAAAAGTAAAAATATATATATAAAGTACAAAATACAAGACATCAACCATAGGAGTTTGAAGGAAGAGAAAAGTGAGGTTTGAAAGAATCAGGGATCTGTGTGTGCCTTTTGGGATAGAGGGAAGGGACAGAGGGATTTTTTGGTGAGGAAGAGGCCTGTACTGAGACCTCCAAGGCAGAAATAGAGTTATGCAGATGACATGACTGGAAAGGAAGCTGTACAGTGAGAAGCACTGGGAAATAAGACCATGGATGGCCAACATGCTGGGGGAAGAGTTCAGACTTGATATAGTTACTGCAGCTTCTCAATTAGAGAGGGCTTGCTGAAAGCAGCTTTTTAAGGTGTTTAGGAAGTACACTTCAGGTAGACTGGGCACAGAAGAAAACAGAGAAAGGAAAACTAATTCACAATGCTTGCATTATGCCCGTAAGATGTGCTGACAATATGGACAAAGTTGGTGGTGGTGGGAAGGGATGAATCAAGGACATTTGGAAGGACAAGTTGTTCTTTAACAGATCTATCATAGGAGAAAAAGAGGAGGGAAGGTTCAGGGAAGATTCAAGATTTCTACCCTCAAATCCTGGGAGACTGCTGGTACTTCTGGCTGAACTAATTCTAACAGCAGACAACTAACAGTTTGCATGATTATAATTAGTTATATTTTAGCTCCTATTATATGGTAAGTACTATGACCCACAGTTTATTTCAGTGAACCATCACAGCAATCATATGTAGAAAGAATTATTCTATTTACCAAGAAGGAAACTTCTTGCCATTTCTCAAGGAATCCACCCAGCAAATGGCAGAATTACTCCTTGACCCCAGATATTTGAGACTATACCCTATACCTTAGAGGGGAAGAAGGTGAAGAGTTTAAGGGTAGCCCTCCTGAAGGTGAGGTAATGGGCCTGGAAGTCAGAGAGAACAGGGCTGGAGAGAGAGATTTTGGAATCAGAAGCAATGAAAGTGCCATGAAAAGTCTCCTTCTTCAGTACTTAGTTTACTTTATTTTATTTTATTATTTTAATACAAATGTATTAAGGTTACTTCCCTGCTAAAAACTTGTCCGTGGCCTCTCACTACACTCAGAATGAAAGCCCGGTGCCTCTGTAGCCCACAAGCCCTTGCAGGACCTGGCTCCGGATCCTCTCTCTAGCCCCAAGCTTGTGGTTCTCTTCCCTGAACCCCCTCAGCCACAAGGCCTTTTTCCCATCGTTAACTTTTATGATTTGAATGCTACAAGTTCTTTTTCTCATTTCAGGGTCCTCATAAGTGTCATTTTCTCTGCCTGGAATTCTCTTTCCTCAAATGTTCAGCAATTTAACCCCAACTTATATTTAAAAAAATTTTTTTTATCCTCACCCGAGGATATTTTTCCATTTTTTGTACAGATAGAGTGGGAGGGAGAGAGAGAGAAACATCGACATGAAGGGACACATTGAGTGGCTGCCACCCGCATGACCAACCAGGGCCGGGGACAAACTGCAACCGAAGCACGTGCCCTTATCGGGAACCGAACTCGGGTCTCTCCGGACCGCTGAGCCAAACTGGCCAGGGCAACCCCAACTTATACTTTAAGCTTTGCTTAAAGGTAATATTCTTCCTGAGGCTGTCCCTGCTCGTATCCCCTCCCTTCCAAAAACAAGATGATATAATGTATTAAGAATAAAACCCTTCTTATTACTTAGAGAAATTTGTCTCTAATGTATAATTATAATAGCAATTGCTATGTGATCTTATTAGTTTTTGGGACTAAACACATTTGAGGAAAGTTATGCTTCAATTAAGCACTTAGATGTTGACCAGGGACAGCATGTTTAGGATTTGTGTGCTAGATGTGGGGATAATAAGCAGTACTTGATGAGTAATTTGGCATTTTAATTATCATACTTCTTGTTTGCTTAGAGTATCATGCATATTTAATAATACTAGAAAATATAACAAGGAGTCTTTCTAGGTAAAAATAATTAATATTTTAAAAACTCCTTAATATCTCATAGCTTCCCTTATAACACTATTTATGAGCAAATAATTAGTTCACTGAATCCTTGCAACAATGCTATAAAGTAGCTACTGGCTTAATTTTTGCCGGCCAGCAAAGAACTATCCCAAAGCAACACACAGCTGACTTGAGGAAGGGCTAGGTCTTGAACCCATATCTAATAGTCTCTAGTGCTCTCAACTATTACACTACATTAATAGTGTCAGGTACTTCCTCATGAGATGGCATGTTTCACTTATTTCTATGTTCTATTTTAGATATAAGAATGCCTCAACTCATTTTCAAGTTCCGAAATACTTAATAAAGAAAAACCCATCTTCTGATACTCACGTATCTCTCCCAATCAATTTCTGCATAAAATCCATTTGGTGCCCCATTGCTTTTCTTCTGTAATAAATTTGAAAATAAATTTAGAAGAGAAACATTTCAATAAAACAAAAAAAGAATACAGAACACTAAACTCTTATCTTTATTTTACAAGAGCTATCAAAATCCAGGACTGGAAAGACAAATTAGAGCAGCCTATTTAGCAGCTCCATGTTGGTGTAACTGACAAATTGAGTTGCCATGACACTGCATAATAGAGCTTACATGCTTATTTCACAAAAGACTGTAGAATACCTAAGCATAGGACATTAGCTACTAGCTGGTCAAATTTTATTCAATTACTAACAAATTAGAAGTATCTACATTATAACTGAATCCTCTATATCTTTAGGGAATATATATTTAAATGGAAATATTTTGACTTCTGTGGTACTCCCATGTACAATTAGTTCCAACATATCCAAAGAGTATCACCCAAGTTGTTAACTAATTTTTTAGCTTTTCTAATACTGACGTAATTTTTTCCTAACCAATCCCTTGATAAACTGAAAGAAAATCAGCTCCAAATCAGTTAATTCAGCTCCTAGGTATTAAAAAATAGTGTCAATATTCTTTACAAGTGGTTTTTCTTAAGAAATTATTAAGATAGAATCACAGGATTAATCGTGGATTTCTGTCATCCATGTGTCCTATGCCTCCATGAACATGAATCATTCAAAGATGACTAGATATCAGCATTACTCTCTCTGGATTATCTTAAAGTTCTATTTTGACTCCTAACAATCACGATATATAGCCCATAAGCACTTCAGCAAGGATATGGCCTAAAGAGAAATTATTAGGATTCTCTACTTTTTGTGAGCACAGGACAAAAACACAAATAAAGTTGGTAACGGAGGGTTCATTCAACAGCATTCTGGTATTTAGCACATAGAGCAATGGTATGTCACTGAGCAATAACAGATCTCAGAACAACACATATTAAATGGTGACACATGAAGCTTGAAGACAGGACCTCTAATTTTGCAATCACAAATGAAGGCCATTTGATCCATAATATGAACAGCTAACACTCAATTTGACAGATAGGCAGGAGAAGTAAGCTTTCCATGTTTGCACGTAGGACCACTAGAAAACCAAATTAGAGGTAATGCAATAACCATCATCACTGATTAATACTTACTGAATATTGACAGGGCATTCTAAGAATAGCTTAGTAAGGGTGAACATGCATAAGGAATAGACATTATGTTCTTTCTTCTTTATGTACTACCACTGCATTAGAATTTACAAATGCAAGAATTCTGCCAGTATTTCCACAGACCAGAACCAAGGAACATAGGCCCTGTGCCCCTCTTCCCTTTTCCTGCTTCTAAAAAGGATTACATACTCAGACTAGATCATTTTAACTTTCCACATAATTGCCTTCATTGAATTAGTGCTTGACTGATATTCTTTCTACTTTGAGCAAAGGTTGTGCTAAAAACCTGTCACACCAACTCTTCATCTGTATAAGCTATAAAGCTATTGTTGAGGACATGGTTCATTTTTTTTTTTTTTATCCTCACCCGAGGACATTTTTCCATTTTTTATTCAGACAGAGTGGGAGGGAGAGAGAGGAAGAGAGAAACATTGATGTAAAAGGGACACATCGAGTGTCTGCCTCCTGCACGACCCAACCAGGACTGGGGACAAACGGCAACCGAGGTATGTGCCCTTAGTGGGAACCGAACGCAGGCCTCTCTGGAACGCAGGACGCTCTAACTGCTGAGCCAAACTGGACAGGGAGAGGACATGGTTCATTAAATAACCTGCCAGCTAGTAATAAAAAATCTCTTCCATAAGGAATGGGCATGGTTCCTGTTTACTTTTTGTCATGTTTTCTTTATTTTTTAATTCCTACTTTATCTATCTGTTGCATATGTCTTCTTTGAAAAATTCTCCAGATCCTTCTTAGAAAGCACATATAATAAATTTATTATTCAAGCTTAACTTATAATAATGGGAATCAAATGAACTAAGTTAATCCCAAAGAACTAAACTTATAAAGTTTTTGATCAGTATAGTACTACCATTGATAGACTTTTTAGTTATTAAAGAATTCTTTAATACTAAGAACTTTTATCTAAAAGTCAATGAGATTAGATAGATCACTGAGTTCAATATTTTCAGTCTGACAGTTTGCCTCTATGATAATTTCATCTCTATTACCAATGCCCCTCAAAAGCAAGATGACACAAATGTGTGTGTGTGTGTGTGTGTGTATTTTTCCTAACAACAAATATCCAACATCATGGATAAAAAGTTCCTGAATTTTCTAGATCTGGCTAAGTGAAATCCCCCAGTTTCCATGGAAACCAATGGAAGACTGAAACAAAGAGAAAGCAAAACCTACAAAAACAAGTTTTCTTTGATAAAATAGGAACATTTTAAACACAAATACCAAATCATAACAATACATTCTTTTGGGCAGATATTCAACACACACACACACACAGCTTTATTAGAGAAACTGGCAATTTGGCCTCATTCATGCTAGTGAATTCTTACAAATATATTTGGTTTCACAAGTGAAAATTATCACATTATAGGTAGCCAGAGTCTGGTTAAAATTCTTCTGGTAAACCCCCAAAAGAAACAATTCTCCTGGTTTAACCACTTAAACAAGTGCAGCTCACAGTGGTGATAGTCAAAATAATGGCTCTATTGATTTTCAATTGGGAAATTTTGAAGAAGCAAGAAAGAAGATAAGTGAAGTGGGGAAATATTTAAAAACTAGGCTTAATAGTTCAAGCAATAATGGCTATTCACCAACATATGAAGAGTGATTTTTTTCCTTGGAGTTGGAGTTATACATTATTTTACTTTTTTCTTTTGTGTGTTTGCCATTATTCTATACTTCGCATATGTAACTTTTATTACTTTAATACACGACCATTATTTAAAGATAATTGAGGCTCACAGCAATGTTAACCTTGTTTTAATAGATATTTTACTTTGGTCAGGCTTATTATCTGTTCTCAGATAATATGATGGGCTAAATGAATAAATGTAGTAACAGTTGTGTTTAATTATACATTCATCAAAGTTCTCAGTTTCCACTGAGAGTGCTCCTGTTTTCCTAGGTCAGATCATGGCCACACAGTGATCCATGGGTGAGAAGTATTAAAAACACAGGATGTACTGCCTAAATATTATCTTTCTGCCATTGAGGTAGACTTGACTCATTTTGCAAATAATCCTATAGAACAGCACTGTCCAATAGAAGTGCCTGTGAAGATGGAAATTTCCTATATGGGTGCTGTCCAATATGGTAGCCACAAGAGGCTATAGCATACTTGAAATGTGGCAGTGTGCTTGAGAAACTGACCTTTAAATAGCCACATGTGGCTACTATATTGGATAACACAGCTATAGTTGTTGCATAGCCTGGGCCGAGATCAGCATCCCCAATTCAACATCCTTTGGTCAAGTACACTGTTCCCACAAGCCAAGGTCCTGCCAAATTCTTAATTTTCTGAGATAATGTTTTTTCTAACAAATGATTACTCAACTCATATGTCATGCTTATATTAGAGCCAAAGATTTCTTATAAATAGATTCTTTCTAAAATCTGAATAACTTTCCTTTGTCTCAGATAAAGGAAACACATCTTTTATGCCTGGTCACTCTTTTTTTTTTTCTTCAAAAATATGTTTTTATTGGTTTTTAGCGAGAGAGGCAGGGAGAGGGAGAGAGAGAAATACTGACGTGAGAGAGAAACATCAAGATCAGACTCCCCCACAAGGATCAAACCCAGGAGCATGTGCCCTGACTGGAAATCGAACCAGCAAACTTTCAGTGCATGAAACTATGCTCAACCAACTGAGTCACACCAGCCAGGGCTGCCTGGTCATTCTTTAAAAGTACATTCAGACATCAGTATTAGAGTCTACATGGTTGATTTAAATATTGGCCCCATATATTCAACAAATAATTTGGAAATAACTAAAAAAGACTCTTCTTAAGTGGAGTAAATAAATGCTACTCTTTTTTTCAATATTTAAATTGAAATTTTACTCACTTTTTCTACAACCCCTTGGAAATTTTAAACTAAAATCTGTTTCCTTACCGAAACTTTTTTTCCTCCTTCACGCGCACACTCTGCTTTGTTATTGTAGGGTGGTTCATGTGGGCTGGGCTGCTGGAATTGATTGTTTTCATGTAGAAAAAGTTGTTAAAGGATCTGTTTGTTCTTTAAGACACATATAAAGAATCACATGGAGTCAGCAAACATACCACAGAAGAAACAATTTCTAGGCCAAATTGTAGGGCCTACCAATCTTGGCAGGGTTCCTTAGACAAAGAGTGGACTTTGGGGCCCATAACGAGGCTCTATTCAGCAGGCCAGTGTAGCTAGGTCAGGAGAAGAGGGCAGGAGGAGGAAGAAACATCCCAGGCACTAGGGATTGTGTGGATCTAGTCCTCACTCAGCCAGCACTTAATTTACAAGTAGAAAACAGACACCAGGACATACTAAAATTGAAAAAAAAAAAAAAGGTTGTATTTCTAATCAAAGTATGAACATCTATCTAGCTCCACTAAATGTTACCCTAGACCAAAGCCTTCCTGAGGGTCATCAAGCCATATAGCACACACAGCTGGCAGCTCCAAATCTGGGCCCTTTCCTGCACACCTGCTCAGGATGAGCTGAGACGATGCCGCCAGGCTATGTGTAGGTAGAAATTGGAACTGCTTAGGAAAAAGTTAATGGTAACTTTGCAGATTAGAGGTTGTCTCTGGGTTGGAATAAATTGTAACACACAGCTGCCTGAAATCTCAGACACCATGACAGTTCTGCAGGGTACAGGTACATTCAGACATGTGGGGAGCAAGACAAGTCCACCTTCACACGTGGAACCCTGTCACAAAGCTTCTGTAGACTAAATCACAAAAGTATTGTCAGTAAAGATGAGCTTCATTGGATTTTGAGAAACTGGAATAAACTGAAGTACATGAAGTCTATTGTGTAGCCATGTGTTGAGTCATTTATAAGCAGTAAGTGGGTGTACCACCACCTATAGTTTGCAGAACTACATCAGTGAAACCATAAATTTCAACTTCAGACATCTAAAAGACAATAATCTGGAAGCTAAATCAGCCACATAAAAGTAGACTGGGTTCACAGACACAAGGTCTTAAAGAAATCAATCTGAATTTGAAAGAAAAAATCAGGTTGAGGTCTTCAAGGATTGAAAGAAAACAGAAACTTGGCTCCCTGTGGCACTGGGATGATAAGGAGTTTTCAGATTCACAGACCACAGTTAGTGGGGAAAATTGGGCGAACATTTCCAAATAGTACCACAAGCAGCTGGATAATAGTTTCCAATTATCTATGAAGCTGCGCATCCTGTTTCAGAGAACATGCATTTGTTTTGAATGTAACCTTTTTCAAATGGATCTGCATTACTTTCTGAGAAACAGAAATTAAATAATTTCCCTTTCCTAATAATCATGACCAGGGGCATTTATGGTATTCCCAATTAAAAAACAAAGAGGGCACAAGTACTAATAAGTAACTTTATATGACTTGGAATGGTGGTGGTAAAGAGGAACTTGGGTACAAAGCCTTGAGCTAGAGTGGCCAAGTCCACAGAATCATGGCTATGCTCATTAATGCAGCATGTATTCATAGTTGCCTGCTCCCTACCAGCACTGTACCAGGCACCTGGGTGCACATTCTACCAGAGATTTAAACAGGTGGTCCCTCGAAGAGTAGAGAACACTGAGGTAGTCATGAGGCCTCACAGACAATGAGCAGGTGGGTGGGAGGGGCTTTAGAAAAAATGGAAAAAGGACAAGACTGAGGGCAGCAGAAGGAAAGAAGCAAGAAATAGCAATCCAGCCTGGGAGCTGCAGGGAGAGAAAGCACAGAACAGCTAACAGAGCCTTGCAGAGGTCAGAATGGAGGGGACAAGAGAACTCAGGGAAGGGACCCAGACAGAAGCAAAGAGAAGACACAGTAGCAGAGAGTACCTGAGACAGAGTTAAGGAGAGGGCTCTGAGCCAGAAGCAAGAGGTGAGGAGAAGCTGAGTCTTCTGGGTCTTTTTTTTCTCCTGCTGAATAGAGCCTTGATTATAGTGTTACCCAATGTCTGGTCAATTTCAATCTATTTTCTTAACATTTCATGGCAAGAACTACATGAATGCAAAAGGCACCTCAAAGCTAAAAACCTTGAGTCAACTGTGGGAGAAAAACTGTTATAGCTGCAATTAACACCCCAATGTATAAAGGGTGATTTAAAAAAAAATTAATTTTTAATTTTCAGGTTTATTTTAGTTCCCACTCCAGCCCAATGAGCCTAATGTGAGTTCATTTCTCTTTTCAGTAACAGCTCTTCTTTTGAACCTTCTGAATAGGCATCTGATTTAGATGTGAAGGAAGTCATTTTAGAAGTGGGTATAGACTCCCATAAGCAACTTGGATAAATCCAAACCGAGGCCCCACAGACTTCTTTAAAAATCAAGAAATCTGGAGACCAACTAGGAGTCAGTTACTATTAAATCTAAACCCAGTGGACGTATTTTTCTCCTCTAGGCTGTAAATTCAGGCATAAGTGGTTTCAAGATCATTCCCTATTTGTGAATTTAATATAGAAAATGTATCTGCAGCTCAACTACAAAAGGGAAAAATTTCTTTCTATTTTATTGGATCTCGGCTCCATTATGACTTTGTGGCCTCTGCTGGAGGAAAGCATTCTCACATAATGAGGTTTATATCATTAAACTGGAAATGAAATAATAGTTGATGGTAGCAGCCCCGGCAGGAACTGTCTGGTTTTTGACCAACCATATTAATGACTAGTTTGCTCGCCTAATCTGGGGCAGGGTTTTAGGTGAATGCAATAAATAAGTTTAACTTGACTGAGACTGCATTGATGTCCCATGCAATTACTACAGAAAATTATAACAGTGAGAGGTCTTAAAAGTCATTTAAGCTACTGTTTTTCCTACAGAAAACAAAAAGAAATGAAGCTTTAAGAAATTTAAACATAGCATATATTGAAGTGCAAACCTACTAAAAATGATCATTTAGGTACTTACAATTCCATCTCTATCGGGTGAGCCTCTGTAACAAAAAAAAAAATTTGTAGCTATTAGGAAAATGAATAATTCTTGCTACATAGACTAAAGCATAACAAAGAAGAAACATTAACCACCTCTCTCCCCTTATCCCACGTTCCTACCCCAGTAAACCCATCTAATGCAAACTAAATCAAAACAAATTGGTCCAGTGGTATTTGAGTGTGGGGAGTGTGTAAGTGTTTGTGGGAGGGAGATTCTCATTAAAACATGACGCCCAAAAGGCACAAGTTACTGCAGCATTTTGGTCCCCTTTTAAGAGGAGAGCTCATTAAGTGTCTGTCTCACTCTAGATGACTCCACTTAAAACTAGCACAGGGAATGTAAACCGATTTGCTCTCTCATCTTCTCCCCTGAGAGTGGTTTTAAATTACCCCATAGGAAGGAACTACTATGGTACTGTTCAAATTACTTTAAGAATCTATTATTTTCTTCCATATTTCTCTATTTACTGCTCCTTTGATTATAAGAAATGAAGGGCAATGTTTCCTAAGGGCTCACTCTGATGACGACAGTGTAGTTCATCCACGGTGGCACTATGCTACAGTGCTTAGGAGTAAGAGCTTTAGAATAGGATGAATCTGAGTGTCCTGGTTCCACCACTTATTAGTTCTGTGTCCCTGGACACATTATCTAACCTCTGTAAGCCAGTTTAAATGAAATAATGTATATAAAGAAAAGTACTAAAAAATGTTGGCTATTATTTTTTTTTTCTTACACTATCTCTTTACTAGGAACACAAAACTGTCCACGTGCAGACACATTAGACTTTATAGCAATGGAGGAAGCGTTACTGTTATTTTGAAAAACTGAACTGGAGGAGCTAGAGGGAAACGCAAGAGGGTCATCACTGTATCTTTATAACTTCCTCTTTTAATTCACTCTGCCAGGAGTTAGCAAAAGTTATTATATAAACATAGAGACCAAATTATGGTTAGGTGGGGACCTGCATTATTTGGAAGAAAATCTTAAAAACTTGAGGTGCACTGTGAAATGTGGAGGAGTTTGTATGGTTGGAAATGTTCTTTACAAGGTGGGACCAAGTAATGAAATTATTTATTGCTTCATAGGGTGGGGCAGAGAGAGAAATGCAGAGAGTTAGTGGGGCATCTCCTGGGCTCCCAGATGAGACTCCCCTTCCCCACCAACACCTCCTTCTAAATTAGCAGGATATTTTTACTTGGATTACAAAACACTTGATGGAGGTGCATAATTTTTCATAACCAATTCTGTGTCCATGTGGATGCAGGGGTTAGAAGCAGAGAGGATGTTGATATTGAAAGACTAGGGGAGTTGACAGAAATCTTAGGGTCTTTGGACATTCCCTGGCTATGGGAATTAGTTGGTTTAAAGAAATTTTATCTAAAATAGAAAGATAGGAAGAGTCTCAGCTGATAAAAGTTATAATTCATTGAACAAATAGTGAATGCTTATAATGGGCCAGACACTAGGCTAGGATCTGGGGATAAAAATAATGAAGATGTACACATCATAGAGAGAATGACAGACAAGTAAATCTAGTGAGTTATTATGGCTACAATCAGCTCAGGTTCATAGGAAAACACAGAGAAAAGGTACCAACTCACATTCATCAAAACGAACTTTTCTTTTCAGAACTATATACTGCAGAGAGAGAGAGAGAGAGAGAGAGAGAGAGAGAGAGAGAGAGAGAGAATTTCTTACCAGAACTTTAGCTTCTGCTAAAGGAACTGAGAAAGAGATGATTGCATCAACTTATACATAGGATACATCCAGAGGCACTGATCCTTGTGGGATGTATTTGGGGCAGCAAGAGAAGACAATCTCTGGAGATAGGACTGGCTGTGGTGTTGCCCACTAATGGTCCAGATACAAGGGCATTCTATAGGGGATCTTACATGAGAGGACACTTGATCTCATGGATATTGCAGCTATAGGGATGGTTTTTTAAAAGTTTTAATCAGAAAACTGTAATTGTATATAATGGCATTTGTATCCTCTTCTGATCCTTTGTCGTATCCATTGATGGAAATGGGGCTGGTGCTTCCTAGTGTGGTGGCAGTAAGCATGACGGTTAGGAGCACTGGCTCCAGGGCCAGACTGCCTGGGTTCAATCAACCTAGATTTCCCAGCTGTATAACCTTGGGCAAGTCACTTCATCCCTTTATGTCTCAGTTTCCTCTTCTAAAAAATGGCCGTGATAATAGCATATACATATACCCCATAGGACAATTAGAGGATTCAATAAGTTAATATAAATGAAGAGCCTGAAATAGTGCCTAAACATAGTAAATACTCATTAAATGTCACCTAGAATAAAACTGCTATATAATATGACCTAAGATGGGGAGTAGAGAGATTTCAGCAGCCTCAGACACATGGGCATGTGTTCTCAATTCGCTTCCTAAGCCTTCTCATGAAATTTCATGTTTTATTTTTAAATGATTAAAGAAATTTAATAGCAGACCCACTATATTTACTGAATTCTATTTAGAAACTAATCATCTACCATGGACCCTTAGCCACTGTTTAAAAAGGTGCCAGTTACCTCTTGTAACTTCTGCCTTTTTTCTGTTATCCTCCTATTGGCCTTGCTTATAATTTTGCCCATCTATTCTTTTTCTTCTGGGTGATAAAAGCCCAGCCGCTTGATTCTGGACTAGAATACTAGTTTCAAGTCTTATTTTCTGGGTAGCCTTCAGCAAGTTACTTAACCCCTTTTGGCACTGATTTCTTATCTTTAAAATTGAGATACAACTTCTAACCTTATTGAATTACTGTGAGGGCTGAAAGAGTTACCAGTGCATACAGTGTACTCTGCATACCACTTAGCACAGGCTCCTTCCTTTCCTCTCTCCACCAGGCATTGTACATTGTACTGATGATTAAATCAGGAAGTTCTGGTCCTAACTCCACTCTGTATCAAAGGAGTTTCAATCAGCTGAAGTTGGGGCTGGTGGTATCCCAGCAGGTGGCTTTACAACCCTGAGGGAGTTGCAACAGTTGAAAACAGTTTGCATCAACAAAGTTTCAATGATGGCAGACTAACATAAGCATTACCTAAAGTTGAAAGGACATCACATCCAATTCCGAGAACATTTGGCCACCCATTTGCAAAAATGAGATATGACCCAATTAGAGATCAGGAGCTCATGAACAGCAAAGGCTTACACTAAACTGTTGTTCCTCTGACTATCACTGCTAGTGGAACCAATTTATGGCTATTTTGCTATCACATAAATATTTTGGAGAGCTCCAATGACAAATTAAGGAGATATGCTTGGGATTTGACAAGCAAATGTCTCATCCAACTACTTCAGAGAGATATCGGGCATCTACAAAGGCCAGGAGGAAAAATTCCTTATTTTCATACCTTTAAAAATGGCAATGGAAGAGCAGTACTTTGGCCACATGCAGATTACCTCAGCCTGCTCTGGGGAGGTTGTTTGACCTCTTTTCCCTTTTGAGGGAACTTTTTTCATTTTCTGCACAAACCAGAGATTATGCACAGACACAGACACTATCTCCAAAGAAAAATAGATTTGGTTTCTGCTAATGATGTTCTCCTGAGGGGGTCTAATGATGTCCCACACAACTGTGGCACATTGTAGGTGACACAGATGTTGCTGACAGGCTGACTGGCAAAGTGTCTGGCTCTTGTGGGAAATTAGACTCCATTTAGTGTGAACTGAAGCCAAGTAAAGGGGACATGGACTCGCAAGGCAGTGGGAAAGCTGCGATGCTGGGAGCAGAGCCCAGGTCTTCAGACTCCAGTAAAAGAACCATCACCTGCTCTGGAGGTTGTTTAGAAAATGGCAGTTTCTTAAGAAACAATAGTAATTACATAGTCCTCAAAAAAAATATTCCTAATTCAATTGTTTAGAACAATTTACAAGACTAGAGTAAATGTAATTTCCATGAAATAATTATTTACCACAAAAAAAGCATAAAAATATAAGAACAGGTGACTTAATATTTGATATCTAGATTAAAAAATAGCTTTTATTTCCCCACAATCTTTAATGCTGTCTGGCTTAAAAACCTTTAACGCTTCAAGGTTTCCCACTGCCTATGGAAGGAAACCTAGATGCTGCAGCCTGGCACTTCCTATCTAGCCCTGATCTCCTTTCCAGACTTGCCTCCAATGATCACTTTTACCTGTAGCTGATGGACAGGTCAACTGTACTATTTATCTTGTCCTGAATACCAGGTGACTTTCCACCCCACTGCTTTGGCTGTTGTTCCTTTTGCATGAAATGACTGTCCTCATCTTGAAAGTCAGACTCAAAGCTCCTCCCTCCCTGAAGCTTCAGTGACCATCTGTCCAAATGTGAGCTTTCCCCATCCTCAACTTCCCATGAATTTCATTTTTAATTGCTCATAAGGAACTTATCACAGATTAATTTGTATTAGTAATAAAGAGTGGTGGTCACTGACATTTACGGAGCATTTACTAAGTACTAGGTACCATTTCAAGTGTTATCTCATTTGGCTATAAGAAAGATATTTCAGTTTATATAGCAGATATTTTATGCCATGAATTATAAAATCTTGGAGGACAAGCACACAGGGCAATGCTCAGCATACTGTATTAAATTTATGCATGATAAAAATGTAAAGAAAGAAAAGCTAAAGGTGATAGACGTAACCTTCTACATTTCCACCTGTGCCCAAACAACTACTGATTTTCCCATTTTCTAAATTTCTTTCATGAATTCTAGCCAAATGATATGTTTAAGGGGCTCATTATTCTGATATACAGCAGACCACACAAGGTCTTTAACCAGCTGCAGGTGAGTAGTGGTGCTCTCCTTACACTGGTCTTGGGCTGGAGTTATCTGTGTAAATTATCTGCCTGGCTCAAAGAGGCATCTGAGATTTTGTGTCTGAGCTAAATAATCTAAAGGAGAATTTAAGATGATCAAATAAATGGAATAAAACTGTTACATCATTTGACATTTTCAAGATGGGTTTATCAGTGTCTGTGGACAACTGATTATCTTGGTGTGATCTTTTAAACATGTACAAGTATCCTCAGGGTTGTTTCTGGCACTGGTTTCTTATTTGCAGCCAAAGAGCCTATCATTCCTGTGAATTCTGTCGGTTGATTTACAGTTCTGCTTGTAATTGTTGCTCAAGTAAAAGCTTTGGAATCTTATCTAGATCAATTTCTGTTTCTGGCTAGGCCTAATCTACCTAACAGGTATTTGCTTCTTCATTTCAGTTACTCAGGGCAACACTAGAGATGGAAATGAATCCTTTTAGTCCCCATAAAAGTAACAATAACACTTCCTGCCTTTAAGGGCTTCTGGGAAGTGTGGTTATCAGGTTATAAAATAATAACACATGAAGAAAAATTGAACACGGGATGAAAAGTCTTCATTTTTATAGTGTAAATTCAAGAACTGTTTACACTGAACAGTTTTCCCAGAAATAGATAGTACACAATAGCCAGGAAAACTCTGTGTACTCTAAAGTGACAGTGACAACAGCATCTCTTATGCAAATAGCTTTTTTGAGGAAGAAAATTTTTAAAGGACCTACGTAGAATCAGTGTCCTTTTCTTTCTTCCGTATTCCAAAGGCCTTCCTTGTACGTTTTTTCAATCCTGTGGGAAAACAACAAAGGGTCAAAATATTATACTTTCTATCTGAATGTTCTTGGCAACATTCATATGAATATATTTTAAAAGTTGCAACACACACCTCTTAAATATGAATGTTCAAAAAGCAGTGAAAGTTTTTACAATAGAATGTACATGTATTCATGTGTGTATTCATAGACTTCCCTATTATATTTTTCAACAGATGTCTATCAAAGATTCAGTACTGTAAGTTCTTAACACCATAAACAACACAAGAATGTAAAGGAGATGAGGGTATGTTATAGAAAAGATTGCAAACTTTTCTTAGGCTATTGTTATTTATTGCCCAAATTGGCCCTGCCAAGAAACCAAGTTACAGATTTAGAATAGCAATTTCCAGGTTAGACATATTGTTGAAACTTGTATAATTCCAAGACACAGGTCATTAAAAACATATCAAGAGAGCTACAATGACCTGACACATCTTTGTTTTTGTTTTTGTTTTTTATCCTCACCCGAGGACATTTTTCCATTTTTTGTACAGATAGAGTGGGAGGGAGAGAGAGGAAGAGAGAGAGAGAGAAACATCGGTGTGAAAGGGACACATCGAGTGGCTGCCACCCGCACGACCAACTAGGGCCGGGGACAAACTGCAACCAAGGTACATGCCCTTAGCGGGAACCGAACCCGGCTCTCTCCGGACCGCAGGCGGGCGCTCTAACCGCTGAGCCAAACCGGCCAGGGCCTGACACATCTTTGTATCCCATATTTCCATCTTGTCTTTTTCTATTCCCTCAATTCTGTAGCTCGATGGATTATCAGCCATTCTTTGAATATATTCCAACATCTGTAGTCCAGTATCTTTTTCTTCCTTACATGGTCCTTAGCTCTGGTTGAAATGTTTTTACTATTTTGTTGATATTTAGAATGTTAATTCATCCTTCAAAGCTTAGCCAAATGTCACTGCTGCAGTGAGGATGTCTCAGTCCTAACGGTGTAAAAAACTGTGCTGTGCTTCCCCCAAATGTTGCTCTTCGACGTACTGTAATATATCCAACTGTTCCATTTAGTAGTTCCTGTGTCGGTCTCCCTGATAGGCTGTCAGCCTTTCTATGACAGAGGCCAAGCTTCCTACATTTGTATGTCCCTTATACCTAGTCCAAGTACCAGATAATATTTATTGATTTAAAATATCATCCAGGAAGCATCATTTAGGCAGTGTTGAGGTAAGAAAACTCCTTTCTTCCATCCTGGACAAATAAGCCCAGTCTTGGTTTTTCTATTCTTATCCTGTCAAGACTTTGAAATTCCTGTTTCCTACATATGTTCCATAGTTAACATCTGTGACTTGTGTTTCTTATGTTAGTGAGGATTATTCAAACAGGCTAAGTGTCTATATATTCATAACCTTAGATTTTTTTCTGGTGGTTTGGAAAATCTTCTTGACACATTGGAGTGGAAAAGTCATGAACTTTCAGGATTTGTTTGGCACTACCAGGTGGAATAAAGGGAAAAAACATTGACAGAATGAGTGATTTGATGACACCTTCTTCCAAAACATGTGAGTCAGCCCAAACTGCTTAGATTATCTGAGTCATTCATTGTTTGGCTTTAAGATACTACTTAGATATTATCTTCAAAATGCCTCTTTTCAAGTCTAATTTTGCATTTTCATAGTCATTTCATATAAAACATTTAGGTCTTTAAACTGTCAATGTTTGTTTTAAAAAAAAAAACTCCCACATAAAACTATTCTTCATTTCTCTCTGCAGGAGGAGTCTACAGAAAAACAAAGTTATTGACATTTAAAAAGCTACTCAACCACAATATTTAGAAACACCCCCCCCCCCATTTGTAACTTTGTTAAAAACTTTCTTCCTTCTCACCTCTAACTGCCTTATCTCCTTATAGGAACAAAATATCAGTTCCAAACCATAACTGTCTCTTTTAATTTTCCTTAGGCTTCTGAGTCTCTTTTTAAAAATAATTTTTTTTTCTTTATTGATTTTACAGAGAGAGAAAGGGAGGAGAGAGAGAAAGGGAGGAGAGAGAGAAAGGGAGGATGAGAGAGAACATCAATTGGCCGCTTCCTGCATGCCTTACACTGGGGATCAGGCCCACAACTTCGGCATGTGCCCTGATTGGGAATCGAACTGGCAACCTCTTGGTGCATGGGTCAACGCTCAACCACTGAGCCACACTAGCTGGGCTCTATTTTCTTTTTTAAATTGTTGAAAGTATTACAGATAATCCTTTTTTCCCCATTGACCCCCTCCTCCCTGCTCCCACCCCACTCCTGCTTTCCCCAACCTAATGTCTGTGTTCATTGGTTGTGTACATATGCATATAAGTTCTTTGGTTTATCTCTTCCCACCCTTCCTTTCCCCCTCCATCCCTCTGAGGTTGTTAAACTGTTCCCTACTTCCATGACTCTGGATCTATTTTGGTCAACAGCTTATTTTATTCATAATGTTCCATAAATGAGTGAGATCATGTGGTACTTGTCTTTCTCTGATGAGCTTATTTTGTTTAGCATAATACTTTCCAGGTCCCTCCATGTCATCTCAAAGGGTAAGAGATCTTTCTTTCTTATAGCTGCATAATATTCCATTGTGTAAATGTACCACAGCTTTTTTATTCACTTGTCTACTGATGGACAGTTGGGCTGTTTCCAGATCTTAGATATTGCAAATAGCTTTGCTATGAACATAGGGGTGCATATAGTCCTTCTGGTTAGTGTTTCAGGCTTCTTAGGATATATTCCAAGAAATGAAAACTACAGGACATTGAAAAAAAAAAAATAGAGAAAGATATAAAAAAATCAAAACATATACCATGTTCATGGATTGAAAAAAATCAACATCATTAAAATGTCCACACTACCCAAAGCAATCTACAGATTCAATGCAATCCCTATTAAAGTACCAATGGCATATTTCACAGAACTAGAACAAATACTCCCCAGAGTTTATATGGAACAAAAAAAAAGACCCCAAATAGCACAGCAGTCTTGAAAAAGAAGAATAAACTGGGAGGAATCACAATACCAGATATCAAGTTATACTACAAAGCCATCATAATCAAAACAGCTGAGTGTGGGCACAAGAACAGGCACATAGATCAATGGTACAGAACAGAGAACCCAGTAATTGACCCAAGAGAGTATGCACAATTAATATTCAACAAAAGAGGCAAGAGCATACAATGGAGAAAAGACAACCTCTAATAAATGGTATTGGGAAACTTGAACAGCTACATGCAAAAAAAAAAAAAGAAGAAGAAACTAGACGACCAACTTACACTATACACAAGAATAAACTCAAAATGGATAAAAGACTTAAATGTAACATGTGAAACCATAAAAATCCTAGAAAAAAATGTAAGCAGAAAAATCTCAGACATCATATGTAGCACAATTTTTACTGATCCATTGCCTAGGACAAGAGAAACAAAAGAAAAAATTAATAAATGGGGCTACATCAAATTAAAAAGCTTCTGCACAGCAAAAGAAACCAGCATCAAAATGAAAAGGGAATCCACTTTCTGGGAGAACATATTTGCCAATGATACATCGGATAAAGGGATAATTTCCAAAATATATAGAGTACTCATACAACTCAACAAAAGGAAGACAAACAATCCAATTAAAAAATGGGCAGAGGACCTGAATAGACACTTCTCCAAACAGGTCATACAAATGGCCAGGAGACATATGAAAAAATGTTCATGATCTCTAATAATCAGAAAGAGGTAAATCAAAACCACTATGAGCACCTGCCAGAATGGTGGCCATCAACAAATCCTCAAACAAGTGCTGGCGAGGATGTGGAGAAAAGGGGACTCTAGTTCACTGTGGGTGAGAAGGCAGACTGGTGTAGCCACTGTGGAAAACAATTCGGTGCTTCCTCAAAAATTAAAAATGGAAATGGAAATGCCATCTGACCCAGTGATAATCTTATGTTTTCCACCCATTTTATTTTCATCATGATTAAAAAATAGCAATGCCCTACCAAACAGATCAGAAAATACATGCAAATTACAGTAATTCTTGTATTAAATTAGTAACAGAACAGGCAATAGTAGTTTTCCATAGACTGTCCTGTTTTTGACCATCAATTTGGAGAATAGCCAATATGAACTAGGTCATGAATGTCACAAGTTGTCAATTTCCAGTGAAAAGTACACTGGATCAAGATTCAGGAGACACAGAGTCCATTCCCAAGATCACTTCTAATTGTGTAGCTGAACATAACTTACATTCTTCTTGGATTTTGATCTCTGAAGTCTATAACAAATCAGCCAATAATAATAAAGGATAAAAGAATTTGCACATGTCCACAAAATGCGATGCTAATCTGTAGCTATACTTTCATTGAAAGTCATATTTCCCATTCATAGACTACAGCTATACCTGGAATGTATACAGGAATGGACCAAAGATATGACATTCCAGAAAATCAAAACAAATCAATTGGTGAAGTAAAAAACTCACTGAAAACTTTTACTCCCTTAAAAAGTGGAAATACTTGGGAAGTTTAGGAATGTATGGAGAAAACTCTGAAAGACTAAGCAAACAAAATTATAAAATGTAAAAGTCATTCATATCTTAGCAACTCTTTGAGAAGATGAAGGAAGAAACAATTATACCAATTGTGTTAAAGTGAATGAGCCAGAGGGAAGGGGGGGGAGGGGTGGCAAGGGCTGGGTGGAAGTGGGCAAAGGTGGGTAGGGACATCTGTAATAGTGTAAACAATAAAAAAAAAAAAAGTGAATAGAGAGGCAAGGGTATGTCTTTTGAGAGTTTATTTTAAAAATTCAAAGAAATTCTTTGAAAAAATGATGGTCAAAGATCTTATAGGAATAGCAAATTTTAGACACTATATATGATAATCTGATGAGCTTAAAAAAAACAAAAAAACATTATGTCTAATGATTCTTCATTTTTGACTCCAGAAGTCCGTGAAAGTTTTAAAGTCATTTTCTACAGTTTAGTTCTTTTCTGGGCTGGGTCATGAATTTTTTTT